CAGCTAATGACATGAACGGCTAAGGGCTGTGTTCTGATATTCATTTTCCCCCTTTCTGCTTTAACAGGAAAACAATGGGAGCTTTTTAAATTATATAAACCATGCAAGTTGTTCTACTAAATCACATACATCCTGTAAATGTGCAAATTTCATTGAAAAAGCAGCAACATAAAGCCAAAGCTCTTGTTGAACTACAAATTCATTAAATTTGACCTGACAAAATAATGTTTTTAAAAACTAATCCACAGTTTCTCTTGGCTCAACAGAAAACTCCAGTGTAAAGAAGAGCAGTCGGGGTCTGCTGTGGCCATATGGACAGATTATCTCTTACATGAAGAGGAGGAGGAGGAGGAGGAGGAGGAGGAGGGAACAAGCCATTAGTACCCTGTTTCTTTTGTTCTCTGCTGTTATCTATCAGTTAGAGTGCTTTTTACACTAGAGCCCTGAGGCTCGGTGAGTGGACAGGCTGCATGATCCTGCTGTTTTTCTCAAAGGTGGAGGCAGGTGTGCTGGGAGAAGCCCTCCACACCCCATCACCAAGGCGCTGGCTCACAGTCACTGGAAAAGTTCACACAATCACACACATCATTCTATGCAATTAAAGTCAACGCAATTATTGTACTCAAATAAACCCGATTGCTTCGGTTGATAGTTCTTTCAAGTCTAAGGTTTTACATTTAGTTTAATAACTCTGAAGTAGTAAAGTTGCAGAGCAGCTGTGATAATTGTTTTTGCAGTGACAGTTTAGGGTAAATGTGTTTAATTGCTACAAGCTGAATGTTGCAATAAAAAGCATTTTTTAATCGCAAGGCCTCATGGTTTTTTTTGTCCAAACATGAAAATTTAATTCAACATTTTGTATTATAAAAGGTGAAACTTCAAAATAAATACACTATAAACCTTGTCCAGTTTTTAATTAATTTATTTTGAGTGGTGACTCCTGCAAACACAAGCCACCTGCAGTGTAGAAAACAAATCCTATTTCTAGCGTCCATGTAATACAGCAGCTCAGCTAGCAGCTGGAATAGCTCCCTTTTAGCATATCAGAACCTACTCTACACCATAACTGCCATAAATTCACCTTATTTATCTCACAAGGCACACACCAACACACAAAGTTCTTGCACACATAAGGCATTACAGCATTATTTTGGGTAAGCCAAAGTTTAGTTCCCACTCATGGATGTGATTTGTTCTGGGTGTAAACAGGAACAACACAACATGAAGTTCTGTAAACTTAAAGACCAGTGGGGATGTTCGCATATAAATGTCTCAGAATAAATAAGCAGCCAATTAGAAAGCCAGCAACAATAAGTGCCATTTACTACAATATTTCTCTCAATGTTTGAAATCAGAAAAATTATAATATAAGACTGTGTTCAAAATGAATCGTATCAAAAAAGGCCAGACAGACCAATAACTCACCTCTGAACTGAAATGCATTTCCCTATTCAGCTCCATTGAGATGTTTGCCTGCTGCCTGTGTGACTGCTTAAAACCTAGCCAGTTAACTAGCTGCTACATCATCAACAGGATATTCAGACTAGCTACCATGTGAGTCTGCACAAGAACACATTTAGCTTGTAGCTACAAACGCATGCCCAGTAAACGGATTTGCTCATGACTGATGATGAATGGGGCAGAAAGACAGCAAGACCATGGAAAATTTATTTTCTGCATTTCTGATAATGTCGACAGCATAAACAACCATCTAATGCTAAAGTATGCTGCAGACCGTGTGTGCATCTATGGTTGTGAACGAGTATATTTTATGTCCAGCTGTGTTCCAACTTCAATCTAACCCAGTACAGAGTCATAACAGAGCTCCCAGCTATTACGCCACACCACAAACCAAGTCAGTGGCAAAGAGACGACAGCACTGCTTTTATTTCCAATAGTAAAAGTTTTTTGTGTGGATGTAGGAATGAAAAAAGTTACTTTTAACTACAAATTAATACAGATCATTTGCAGTAAATTACTCCAACATTGAATAGCATCTACTAGAGGTTACGGATTTTTATAAAAACATCTAGCAACCAAAGCAATCATTTTGTTGTTTGAATAAAAGGCATCCCTCTTTCCATCAATTTGAATGAGTCGTTCTGACACTGAATTGCACCAGATACTGTCAGAGCCTGATTTGCATACAACAGGAAAAGGAGATTCACTTAACACACTAGTAAGAGCACAAAAGTTTAACCCAGTTTCCTGGCGCTTCAAATTACACTCCTCCTAGAAATGCCAAACCAAGGTCTGTAAATTAAAAAGAGCCCCAGCATATGTTTGGACTGAACACCAGAGACAGGAAACCTTCAGTGGAGTCCGCACCGTGCTGTATGGAAATGACAGGGTAACAGAAAAGTTAGGCCTCTTTGAAAGCAGAAATGTGATCACTTCAGGCCTGGAAATTTTCCCTCACTAAACAGTCAGAAAATATGTCCAGGCAATCATACCTGCCTTGGTGCAACATAAAAATGCACAATACATTCACATGGTCAAGCACACACACACACACATTAGTAGCTGTTTAGCCTTGATCTGTTCACCATATTCTCATATCAAAGTGTGAAGTTTGTCTAGACACTGACTTCCTCCTACACAATCTTCTGTCACAGAACAGTAACACTTTGAACACAGGCAGATTGATTTTGCACAAAATCAATCTGCGCATTTCCCATGTGGAAAACGACACACTCAAACACACACATGCTGTTAGGATTACATCTCATACAGAAACAACGGTACACTAAGAGGAAGCGGAAAAAAACTAGTCCTGTTAAGGGATGGACGAGGAGATGGACAAAGGAAAACCCCAGAGGAAACAAGATACCTATGCACCAGTGCGCTGGCATTTGACTTTGAGTTACACATATATTTTAAGAGTATGATTCCAGCTCATGTTGCTGAATTAACTTTAGGCTTTTATTCTTGTGCTCCAATAAAGTAAAACAAACTGACGCAGTGAAAAATGATTTTGATAAGATTGCTGGGAAAACTGAATTAAGGGTCTTATGTGAGAGTGACTTATTCAATCACAGAAAGCAACCAACCATACACGGTTTTGACTCACTCCACGTCTTCTTACAAAGTGCTGAGAAGGACATTAAATTGAAAATCCTGCTAAGTCCATTAGTCTAGGGCCTAATAATTCTGTATTCATCCATACAGCTCTTGAAATGTGAAACCAGTAAGCAACAAAACAACCACAGGAAAAGGAGACCCATGATTCAATTTAATACATTGTCAATACTGTCTGAAATCTGCTGACCACAAGCAAAACGTCCAGATTAAAAACAGGAAATTGCACGGATGTTTGCAATGTACACAACCTTTCAAATAGAACACACCACTGAACATCCTTAACCCTTCCCGTCACCTCATCATTTGTCAGCTCTGCTGGTCAGTACTTGAGAGACAGGCGACAGGAATCACGATGGTGAGTCGTCGTCATGATTTAAACACCCCCATCCATCCCTGCTCCACAGCAGTGCCAGTGACACCCACAATCTTGTAGACATCATCCAATGGCAATTCAAAAGACACTGCCCATCTTTAATACTTCACCCTCAGCAGCCACTGACAGATATTTCTGTTTGAGGTGGCCTAGTGGAGCTTTTGTAGGCTTATAACACCAATGTCTACACAATAGGCTGATTGATCACACTGGAATTATTAACAGGAAACCAGAGCTGACAACACTATTAACCAATCAGTGTCACTATTTACTTGACTTCAAAATATTAAAAACTGCTGATTTTTTTTTTCTTAAATCCAAGTACAAAAAACAACAGCCTTAACTATTCAGGTTTATTCTAACACTATCAGGTTACAGAGATGGTGTAGATCTAGCTAAACGTTCTAACTGTTTTGCCATTTAATATTTGTGTATTCGAATGCAGCCATTTCTGTGACGAGTAAATGTGTTTGCACAGCCATAGCCCCTGAGGATATGGGTCACTGTCCTAAGTCTGAAGTGTGGGAAATCTGTGTCTGTCAGTGCAATAGCTTGGTCATAATAACATTCCTGAACTCACTCTACTGTCACAACAGCATGCAGGGTCATGCTCAGTTCCTGGTTATCACAAACATAGCTGAGACCGTGCTGTAGAAATACAGTGAATCATATTCTCTCTGGACACTTTGTCTGCTAAGCTCTCAGGTTTCACAACTGGCATAGCTGTTACACACAGTAAGGAAATAACACTGTGCATTTAAAAAATACTGTTTGACAGCAGGCTGAAGAAGTAAACATTTAAAGCAAAAGAGGTAGACAACTGTAACAGCAGCTTGTCATTCGATTGCGTCTGCCCTTGATATAGACTGCAAGCTCTTGTCTAGGGACTTTAGCAAAGGCAAATCAACTGTGTAGTGTGTTGCATAGTGTAAATTTGACTGACTGGTCAGGAGATGGTCGGTAATCATTCATCAGCTTTTATGGTCTTAAACTTATATAGCGGTTTTCTATGCAATGAAGCACACTCAAAGCACTTTACACTATTTTCCATTCACACACAGACGGCACAGCCACAGGGTGAACTTGGGGTTCAGTGTCTTGCCCAAGGACACTTCAAAACATGAACTAGAGAAGCTGGGATTTGAACTACCAACAGTCCAGTTAAGAAACAACCTGCTCCTGAGCCACAGCTGCCTATTTAGTGCTTTTCACTTCACCAAAAAACACTGAATACATTAACACGCTGCATTTTCTCTGTAGCCCATTATATTAAAAGGAAGTGTGCAAGTGAAAGCTGTGTTGTCGGATTATATTTAACTGAACCCTGAGGGGTCAAAACCCACCATCTGAACGCAGACCACCCCAGCTCAGGCATTAGAGGACATGGAGACATTGTGTACAGCTTTAAATAAAATTTAGGTTTAGCCATACCAGATTGTCCATTTTCTTTTAAATAACAGTAAAAAAATATCTCCTGACCTTCACCTCAGCTGTTGAGGTGAAGCTGCATTGGCTTTATGGCTTGTTCATCAGAAGTCAGTCTTACCTGATAGTAAGCTTTAATCTGCCTGATGAGAATAGAAAGGTTCTGAATGCGGAGCGTGGGATCATTGTTCACCTTCTTGTTGGTCCTCTGCACCGTGGCCTTAGGATTTCTGCAAGAAAAAAATGGCATACTGTCATTTCATCCTTGTCTGCAGCAAAAAAAACATCAGTTGAAGATTTTATAGTTACATTTTCTAAGCGTGCGAGTCAGTGGCTAGTTTGAAGCATCTCCATTTCAGTTTGACACCAGATTTCTTTATGTAAACACAAGAGGTGTGTGTTTGACTAAAAAACATTAACAGCATAGTTAACCCGGACCCTTATTTCTATAGGTCCAGCACCATATCTATGTTGATGAAACCACAGACACATTAAAAGACAGAACTAAATAAAAAAAAAACTGCTCATTAACTCCAGTGGCACCACTGTTCAGGCAGGTCAATAATTCTCCGACCTCTAACCATGATGCCCATTTCCTCTTCTGAGTTAAGGACACATGGTATCTTCTTAGTGCTTGAAGAACAAATGCTGCAAGTTTATCTGACTGTGTTGCCCAAGAGGCTTTAAGAGGAGCATGCATGACAACTGATGATATCACAGGCGTCAACATGTTTTAGTTGGTCTCAGACATTCCAAACACCGACACAGTACCACCTCCCCAGCCGCCGTTAACTAAAACAACTCACTATCATTTGCATATCTCTCGAAATTATCTTTAGAATATTATCCCTTAATATTAAACAGTGTGAACATCATTACATCCAAAAAACAAATCTGCAAATTAAACGCAGCAAAATTGACAATACTTAAAGGATTACTCAATCACAGATCAGGATAAACATCATATCTGTTTTAAATATTTTTACAGAACTGAAATGATTTCATTGTTCATACAGGCATTCAGAAATAGTAAAATCAAATCAACAATGTCATTTGTTCAGACATACTGGGAGCAGCACGTTTGGACACAAACCAACGCCCCAGAGCCAAAGGGGGGGGGGGGGGGAATCATAAAATCCCACCGACCCTGCCTCACTAAAAAAATATCACAGATGAAGGATCTTCATTACAAAGAACATTTTAACATCTCACATAATACATTCATGACAAAACCTGCCGTCAGGTGTTTGTTGGGACACTGCTTTAGTAGCTTAACCCTAAAATCCAATTTTTAATTAAGAACAGGTATTATGTTACACAGAGGGCAGATTTTCAGGCTTCAAATGAAACATCCTGTCTCGAGTCAACTGGCTGCAGTGCAGATGTGTTAATTAGTTTTCCGATCAGTCTCCACCCTGATACACACACAAACAAATATCATGCTGATCAGAAGGACACAGGGATCATTTTAATAGTGGTCTAAATGAACATTCATGTGACATCCCCATTTCCCTCCCTCCACAGACACAGAGCCCCTTTCGAGGTCCATAGTAGGGGGTCTATTTAACCCATTAATTAAAAAGCGCAGGCTGTAATCCTATCAGAGCGAGGGGTGTGGTGGGGTGAATGAGGTTTATGTATGCGAGAAAGAAAGAGGAAAAACAGCAAGGAAAGGGCTGACTATTCAGATGTTCCATCACTATCAGAGTCAGCAGAGAACATGGCAGCCACAACAGGACTGTGACAATGCCGCACAATCTATCCCTTGCTTCTTTGGCTCCATCGTTTATGCCACACATACAAGCACGACAGGCCGACCACCCTGTGGATGTGTATGAGAGCAAATACAGGGATTTAGAAGAGTAACGGGGGCAAAAATCCAATTATTGCCACCCCCTCTGTTCCTGCTGGTACAGCAATCCTAAGACACTAAACAGACAAACAGATTAGGTATACACAGGCAGAAAGGCAGCTACATAGCCAAGAAGGCAGACAACTAGGCAGTAAGCCAGCCAGACAGCCAGTCAGTAAGCCATACTATCAGTGCTGTCAATAGGCACAACAGCCTTATGTAGAGTCTGGGGCCACTGGGCACGCTCCTTGTCTCCCGGTTTTGATTGGCTGGGTAGTTTAGGGAGCAGTGTTAACCTATATATGACAGGCTTCATTACAGTCAGCATGGGCAGCCAGGAACATGCCCACAGACACACACACACACACACACACACACACACAGAGAGCAGACAAAATGCACACACACAAAGAGAAAATGCAGCAGGGGAGTCTGTGTTTGTGCATCTGTGTGTGAGAAAGACACACACCAACAGGAAGCCAAACAACTACAGTAATTAGCCATTATTAGCAGCCATACTAAAGTTAACAGTTCACTTAAAGATAATTTGGTGGGTGCCTGTCAGTCACCTCCATATTGGCACCAAAACACATTTAAACATCAAATCAAAAATGCCAACATTTTAACCAGTACGTCTTAACACACCTTAGTATGTACAGCTAACTCAATTACCCAGATCAAAGTCATACTTCAAAACCATTTTCAGGCCTTGCAGGAACAGAGCCAACCATATATTAGATTTTCTCATCCCCTACCTTTTGGACCTGCAGTACACAGAGACAGCTGAGGATATGACCATAGGGTGATGAGAAAACATACCAGTTTAACAGACATGTTTCTTTCCTGTCTTTCTGTTTCCACAGTGCCCTTTCCATTCCTCTCTGTTGCTTTTGTATCCATAGAAGCTACAGCTAAACTCATTCCTGCCCAACTGGATTTAATTAGATGGCTTACTTTGTACTGGACTACAAACACTCCAGACCATTGAAACAAAATTCATCATCTTAAATAAGAGGCAAACCTGTCAGAGGTAAATATAGCAGGATATACAGTTCTGTCAGTACACCAAACATAGGCGTGCCATAACCGACTACTCTGCTGCTCCCAGTTCCTCTTTATAATGGAAATGTAATCGGTCACTGATTAATTAAACTTTTCTGCTAATTCTCAACGCTAAGCTGCTGCTAAACTCTACACTTCTTGCAGATGTTTCACAGCAAACATCTTTGAGAGAACAGAAAGAATTTGGTCCCCTCTGCCACTTAGAGGTCTGTAAGGAGGAAGTGTTATACTTAAAAGTCAAACAGTGGAATCAGAAAAGAAACAAGGAGGAGGTCGAACAGTCAAACTGATTAAATATTATCAGCTATAAAGCAGGGACAACTGAAAATAAACTCCATCTCAAATAAAGGTCTGGTTCTCTCTTAAGTTGAGGTCAACTTAACTTTTTTTTTTTTTTTTAGAATTGACAGTATCTCACTGACATGTTTAAATGGTACTGTCTATGCCATTTGCTGACACATACTGAATATGGCACAGCCCAAACATTCCAACCAGTCTTGAGAAAGCATTGGCTTACATGTCAACTGGGCTTTGAACTACTAGATCTGAGAAACCAAGAACAAACCTGGTTCTAAAATCCTAAACTGGTCCCTGTGCCCCACATTAACATGGCCTTGTCAAAGTTTTGTCCTCATAATCACAGGTGCCATTTCCTGTCTGATTAGATTTGCATCCTTCTGCTAGACAGACATGGGGAGAATGGTGTGGCAGATCCTTATTTGAGCTGCCTTTCTGATTCTACACTGTGCGAAAAGCAATGGACACCTACAGTCCAGGCAGCAGCAGTGGGGGAACTAAACAGATTGACACCCCAAAACCAGATCTGCAGCTTCCTTTTTCCAATCCAGCTGGAATCCCAACTATGTCTTGCTTTAACCAGCTCTAGAGAAAGTCAACAAAGGGTTTAACGTGCTACTCAAAAGGAGCAGCATGGATGAGGGAGATAGGGTAGGAGAGATGAGGCACAGACAGAACAGAGATGCAGATAGAAGAAACAGCAGGGACAGGAGAAGTAAACAAGAACAAGAGGTAGCAGTACATGAGACATGATAAAAAAAAGTGCATCTACTTCCTTTTAAATGAAAAACAAGATGAGAAAAATGAGAATAAGGCACATCACATGAATAGGGTAAAAAAAAAAAAAAAGGAAGCCAGCTAATAAAGAAATCCTGTAAAAAAACAATGTGTCTATTGTCAAACATAGTCAAGGCTCATTAAAATTAAACATTTTGGGACTAATTTTCAGGGTTAGTTACACATCTATGCAAGAAAGTTCTTAAAAACCAAAACGACAACACAACCCACTGTGCAATAAACATAGGACACATCAAATCCATTTACTGTTAAATCATTCACGCAACACTTTCCTGACAGCCCAAAGAGGAAAGACTGACAGAATAGGCCAATGACCCAGCACAGGCCTGCAGAACTGGCAGGAAAGCAGAGAACTCAAGCGGACAGTTGTCACTCTGACGAAAATATAATTGCCCCCCTCTTGCTGAGTGATAAAAGTAATTTGTTTGACAGCTCTGTGAAGGCAGTCTAATTGTCTAGGTAATTTCACAAGAGGTTTTGGGGGGGCTGGTGCCATCTGGGTGTCAGTAAACCCCAAGATAATCCTGGGGTCTCGGCTCCTCTGAGCGCTCTCATGCTGTCCTGACAACTGCTACTAGCCTGCCTGCCATGTCTATTGCTTAATGCCTGGTGGAGATATTCAAACAGCAACACTATAGCTTATACTACAACAGCTGACATCACCAGTACAAATATTACCAGCTCCAACTGATTCATCCAAAGTACTACAAGTGTGAGCTGATGAGAAATATTGAGGTTTAGGTAAAATAATAACACTAGAGTTTAATATCTTTGGAGTTTAATTCTGCACTCTGCAGAGAATATTTCTGAACTACAGTGTTATCAGTGGTAAATTTGTTTTTTCCCCCCCATTGTGAACAGCAGCTACAGGCTGGTGGCGAACTCCAGCAGACCCGTTTTAGCACGGCTGGATCAACTGCATGCAGTGCAATTGCAACCAACACTCACTACAGAATATTTCAGCATGCTTGTGGGAGCCTAAGAACTGGAACAAATAGAATCCATGTTAATTTTTTCACCTTGTGATACAGTGTATTTTAGTCAGCTCAGCCTGCTCATGGTAAACACACAGTCCTGCTAAAGTGGAAGAGGCAGACAAAGAGCAGTCTGAACAGCATAACATCTGACCAGCACTGTAGGACATCTGTGTGGGAGGGTGGCTGGGGCAGACAACTACCAACAGCTGCCTCAGTCCAAAACCAAACACACAGGGGAAAAAAAACATCCACAGATACACATACTCCCACACAAACAAAAAAGCCCTGCAGAAAAGTACACACAACCATAAATACACAGAGCTGCCTGTGAATGGCAATCCCCAACATCCTGTCGCGCAATCACTAAACTACTAACAGTTCATTTCAGCCCAGTGCTGGCTGTTCACTACAGGAGCCTTCAACCAGCCATAGAAAATGCCAGTCCAGTTTTTTTCCATTTGTTTGCAGAGATAAAACCTATTTTGTACCTGGTCAAACATTTTGACTTTAATATGGAGACCTGAGGAGTCGTCATGTGTCCTGGCGAACCAGGGCTTGAATTTGTCTTTCATATGTCACCCTTTC